GCGCGGCAGCAGCCAGGTGAGTGCGGGACGCGGCAGGGTCGGGCGCTGTGACCGCCGTCACCTCGGGAGCTGGCTCTTGGGTGTGTTCTATCCAAGCAGATCAGTCTTGCTCTGGCTTAGTGAAGATAAATAGTTCTGACTTGCAACCTCACTTTTAATGAAGAATGAAGCCTGTCGCGAACCCCTTTTGTCCCCGACCCCCGACCCCGGAGAGGAGCGCGGCAGCAGCCAGGTGAGTGCGGGACGCGGCAGGGTCGGGCGCTCTGACCGCCGTCACCTCGGGAGCTGGCTCTTGGGTGTGTTCTATCCAAGCAGATCAGTCTTGCTCTGGCTTAGTGAAGATAAATAGTTCTGACTTGCAACCTCACTTTTAATGAAGAATGAAGCCTGTCGCCAGAACCCCTTTGGGTAGCTTAATGATCAATGAAAAAAGTTATGGATAAAGGGAGAATTTGGGGGCGGGGAGACTCTGGGAAATGCTCGGCTAAGTCTCACCTTGGCAGTAGAAAAAGGTGCCGGTCTTAACTGCTTAGCAAAGTGTGGAGGAGCCCCCACTGGAAGCGCACGGTGAGCAGGAAGGAGTAGGAATGCGGAGTGGCGGGTGGCAGGGTGGCAGTGGCCTATGTGCTGGGCAAAGCTCGATAGCAGAAGCCGGGTCATTCCCCGCATTCTCTCGGAACTTCCTGCAGCAGGTGGTCGCTGTCCCACAAGTGGACAGCGTGAGAGTCTTACTATTCTAAGTTTTAAGAGTCACCGGAAGCGCTTGCTTTTAAAATACGCTGCTTTGAACATGACGTCGACGCTACCCAGACAAGAAATCAAGTTTTTAATGTGTTTTTAGGAAACGTTTTGTCGTAGGGTCTGTCAGGCATCCCCCGAATGACTGGCTGTGGTTACTCCCTCCCTTTTGAAGAGGAAATGCTTTCCTTTGGTAAATGTTGAATCACGTCAATGCTAGAAAATATTTGAAAAATCCTATATTAGCAGATAGCTGAATAACTTTTCTCTCAGAACATCTTATCTTATTTAAACTCATTCTTTAGACTCTGCTTATGTTAGATGAATGACATATACATTAAAACTTTAATTAGATTAAAGCTGTTATAAGAAGAATTAGGCCATGAGTTGGGAGCAACATATAGGACTAGAAGTTCTTTTAGATGAAATCTTTATAGTTTATTGACTACTTTATTAATGAAGTTTCTGAAAATAAATCAGAAAACCAGTATATTTTATTTCTAAATATGAACAGTTGCTTTCAGTAAGCACATACTTGAAGTTGTAAAAAAAATTTTATTTCAGAAGAGTAGGTAGAGAATATGGATAAAAAGACTAAATAAATTTAACCTTTCCTGTTTTCTTGAAAGTATATTGGATAGAAATGGTTTTGGTTTCAAAAAATTAAAAAAGTATGCTTAAGGGCATGTTTTTCATTCAGCATAAATGAATACTATACATAAAAGTATTTTTCGAGTGTGTGTAATCTTAACAATTTTGGAGTTAGGGAACTATTTTTACATTTTGTTTTTCATAACTTGCTATCAAGGATAACATCAAGTAGTAATTGAATCATTTTGGAAGGTGTATGCTACTGTAGTGTGAATGTTAGGTTACTAGGTCATTTTGCAGTTTACTGAAATAAGATACTTTCAAATCAAAAATAGGGAATTGTGAATTCAGCCTCATGTTCCCTTTTGCCAAAAAGCTTTCGGAAACTGTCATTTAAAAAATATTTTTATGCATGAGATCTGAACTTGACTTGAAGGAAATACCAAACCAACGTTATGAATGTGCCTTCTCCATCTCCTGGGTACTTTATTACCTTACATAATTTAATTCTCATTACAGTTCTCTGTGATAGAGATTGTTGTCTTTTTATGGATTAGGAAACCAATGGTCAAAGTAATTAAGTAAGCTTTTCAGAGTCCTTTGATTAATAAATGTCAGAGAAATGTTTGTGCTCAGATCAGTCTCCAGAATTGTTTTCCGTGATTACAGCTCTCTTTGACAATCTTAAAATGTAAGTTTTTGAGATAGTTTTCCTCTTACTGAGTCATACTCTATTAGAGACTTGCACATTTGTATTCATTTTGGTTTTCCCCATCCCTACACAAATCAGTTCAGTGATGGATTAGCATATTAATTTCTGAATTGTACTGTGACGCATTGGTACATACCATCACGTTTAAAGATGGTATTTTATTATTTATTTATTTATTTTTCCATTAAGTTTATGGGTACATTTAAAGCAAACAGTACAGTTACATTCATCCCTGGGATCTTGCACCTTTACATGATGTGTCTTGGTCCTTGTTTTTTCCCCATTCCCCTGCCTTCTCTTCACGTCCTTCACCCTTCCCTATTTGCAGTGACTTTGTAAAGATGGTATTTTTAATTATAACCTGTATTGTAGTTCTAAAGAAGCTTCTCCTTATGAAGAACTACCATGTTAATGTAGACATAAGCAGAATTTTTTAAAAGTTAAAGTACAGGTGGGAGATAAATAGGCAAATGCGGTGATCCAAGCGTAAAGAACAGTCAGTCCTGAGGGACAGGCCTCTTTCCAGACCAGACCCAAGAGGCCCCAGTGTGTGTCTCCAGCGCCTGCTGCCCCAGGACCTTGTTTTCTGTGAAATAGAATTTCCTGTGTCTGAATTACAGAAGGAAAGGTTTCTGAGTCCTCCAACCAAAGGAGCCCAGCTCCCTTTGGAATGTGGAAGAGAAGAATTAGAGTGGGAAACTGGAACCGGAAGAGGGCTAGTGCTGCCCTGACGGAGGCTTAGCTTGGCGGCACCCCGACTGTGGAGCTTCCTGTGCATCTCAGAGGTCTTTCCTTGCCCTTTCAGCTCCTCACTGCCAAGATACCTGAGCTTGGGGAGGAGCTTGTAACAAGGGCAGACCGGCACAGATGGGTACCTAGAAAAGAAAGGATAGTGAAAGCCTTTACTTTGTCTTAGATTGCCTGTGTACAAACAACTTTCTCTCAAGGCAGAGAGAAAATTCATTGCAAAAATGGGGAAATTATTGAATTTTTCTCTTATTGCTGCTTGATCTTGGCGTCCGCCACATTCTGCAGTACACATCTCCACCCTCCAGCCCAGCATGAGACTCCAACAGCACGTGTGCCCACACTCTGACACTAGGGAGGGATGTACGGAGATTAAAATTGAACAAAGTGTGCTCCTTCCCCTGCCTCTGCCAGCCCTCTTCACTATTGTGTTTTCTTTAGCCAAACATTACCTTTGAAACGCACACTGACACGCTTGCAGGTGCCTTGCTGTTGGGGCACGTGCATTATTTGAAATGTTCTGCTTTGAGAATAAAGAAAAAGAGAAAAAAGAAACCTTTCTTCCACTCATTCTAGTTTACCAGTCAGGCCATATTGTCACACCAGATGCATTTCATTTTCTGCAACACAGTTGGGAAAGATGCTCTCTCAACTTGTGTGCATATAAAAATATGCCAGTTTTATGTATTTTGTCTTGATGAGGTACTAAAATTATCTTTGCTAGAATCAGAAAGTCAGTATTTTGAGATAAAGAGTGAGGGATGAATATGTTGCATTTTTTTTTTA